GGGCGATGACGTGCCTGTCGTACCTGTCACTTAGTCATGTTTTATTTATAGTTATGGCAATAATCCTGGCCTTAATCTGTTCCACTTTATTGTCCCATTCAGTCAAGTAACTCCTGGCTCAGGTTTCACCTTTGCCTCTGCGGGTTTTACTCAACAAAAACAATGACTTAAAATGAGAAAAAAAAGAAAACGGCTGTATATTTGATTAAACATATTATTGATAGTTTCAGCAAAAAAGACAGAGGAGAAGAGGCAGCATTTTAACAGAGCAATTTTCAGGGCTGCTACAGTAACAATAATAACAAATTAACACAAACTAAGTTCAACACCACATGATTAACTCACATACTTTCTGTGAGTTCACCTTGGGCCAGCCATGTTCTGTAGACTAACACTAAAAAGTGTTTGACATATAATGGAGGAAGCTGATTTTTGTTTTGTTTTAGAGTGAGCCAATGGTGTGAAGATAACACTGCTGTAATAATGTCTTTTTTCTCGTTTCTGTCTGTTGACTGGTGAAACTTGCTGTTGAGTATGTTGGGTGTTTTTGCTCAGTAAACAAACCAGAGCTGTCTTTTTTCCTCCTCAGGCTGGGATGACTATCACATATGACCCCAGTGCAGCTGCTATGCAAAACGGGTGAGTTTCAACAAAACGGGATGAGTTTACACAGTATAATCCACTCTGTCTGCTTTAACTGTGTTTACAAATCACTCTGTGTCCACAGATTCTTTCCACCAGCATATAGTATTTCAAACAGGATGATTGCTCAAGCATCCATGTCCCCTTACATGTCTCCTATGTCGACGTTCCAGGTTGGATACCACTCTTGTCTCATTAACTGTACTGTAGCTGTACATAAATAAATAAGTTATAATAAGTAGAGAAATGTCATTGTGTCACCACAGTTGTTTAAGTTTTTTTTTTTTTTTTAAGTTGCCTGTAGCTTTTCGTGAGCTTCTCTGAGCTGTGTTGTTGCCAGACGTTTTACTGGCGTTTGTGTGAAGATGTGTGTGATCTTCCAGGTGCAGAATCCATCTTGGATGCCTCAGCAGCAGTACATCATGCAGCATCCAGTAAGAGCATCATCACATCGTCACCAATGATCGCTTTGACGCAATTCTCCTTCTCTCTATTTTTTTAGTTCTCATTCCATTTGCGGTCTATGCAACAATGGCGCATGAATGTCACTCACCCACTGACTTAGTGATCAAGTTACACATCAAGTTAGTCAGTGCAGTGCCATGTGGTTTGGCTCAAAGAAGCCCAGAAGGGATTTTTGTTTTCTTTTGTTTTTGAGAAGAGTATTTTTAACAGTGACAATAACATTATTGTGAGTCACTGACTTCCTCAGCCCCATCTGCAGCCCATTAACAAAGCTTTGCTTTTTTAAATTTAAATCACGTCGTTTTAATTAAAGTCAATGTCATTTGGCTTTAATTAAAATGGCCAGACAGTAGTGGTCCCAGATCTAATTTAGCTTCTGATATTGCTCTGTGAACTGTTTTTGCCAGAATTTTGGAATTTTTTTGTCCCCCCCCCCACAAAAAATGTATTTGTTTATAAGTGGAGCAGTGACTTCACGAAAAAGAAAACCCTGTCAGAGACAATCGCCTCATTGTCATTGTGTGCTGAAGCACAGACTTTCCAGCCACAGTCTGTTTTATTTTATAAAAATAGTTCCCTGTGGGACACTGACACACTGTTCATCAAACAGACACATTATTGGTCTGTCTTTACACATATGGTGATACTGACGTCTGTGGAATTTATGAGGCAAAATAATTTATAGAAACAGGCAAATATTTTAGAAAATGAAAGTAAAAAGAGGCAAAATGTAAGGCAAGATGTCCAAGGAACTACAGAAAGGAAACTTAAAGACAGAAAAGTCCTGATTTAAACACCAGCAGAATGCGGTCATAAATCGCTAAGTTTGTCCTTAGCTAACCCCCCCTACAGGCAGCTGAGGTTATGACACATCAGGTCTGATATTTTTCAGTGACTTTTACCTTAAATCTCAGGAACAGATTGTCACTGAAAAACAACAAACTCCACCAAGTGCAAACATCTGTCTCACTCGCCCACACCTTCCTTTCCTTCCAGGGTGCAGTTTTATCGCCCTCTATGGACCCATCGATGTCACTGCAGCCCTCTTCTATGATGACCCCTCTCTCACAGCAGATGGCTCACATGTCCCTGGGTGGTGCAGGATCGGTGAGACCATTGGACAACGTTATATTAGTGTGTGCTATATGTAAAACCTGCATAGGATGACGACAGTGACCTCTGTTTGTTTATTTCTCCTTTTCCTAACAGTTCATGGCTGCCAACACGGCTATGCAGGGAGCATACATCCCTCAGTATGCACACATGCAGTCAAGTTCTGTTTCTGTGGAGGTGAGTGATGACATTAGTGCTGTCGAAATATCGGGTGGGACAGAAATTGATCATGTGAAAATACTCAGTGTCTAAACATATTAAACTCTGACCTTTATATTTAGGATAGTGATGCACCGATCAAGTAGCTAGTGATCAAAATTTTGAGCAGTTGGAGGAAAAGTGTCATAATTCATTGTTATGAGAAGAAAATTTAGAACATTTTTGAAAAAAAAAAGAAATCAACAAAAATTGGTAGTCAAAATTTCAGATGTCAGAATAAGCCAAGGAAATTGCAGTCGGTCCCTCTCTAATTTAGAAGGAATTAAAAGGCAGTATATTTAATGGTATTCATTTACAAAATTGTTGGATGTAAATTTTAATGTTATCAATTTAGGACAAAGAAAAACTCTTTAATTGTATTAAATCTAATATATAATGTAATGTATGAATAAAGTTAGGCCAAAGGTCTGTATCTACTACACTCTGGAACATGTGTCTAGGACAGACATTTGCCCCAATTTTGGGACAAAGTGAGCAAATCAGAATAGTGATCAGACCAAAGAATTAAAAAATTACAAGAGAATGATGAGAATGTTCCCTATTCCCAGGAAAATGGTGCTCAGTCCCAGATGGACTCGTCCAGAAATCATTCTCCGTATCCGTACCAACAAAGCAAGTAGTGTTGAGGTAACACTGCGACAACAGCTGAAGCAATCATGTCTAAAAAAAACAAAATGGGCGCTGAGGATCTTTTCACTGTTTTGCACAGGTTCTGCAAATATGTAAGTGAGAATTCTTTTTGGCAAAATTTTCAGAGAAAATATGTGAGTTCATCAAGTCGTTCAAAATTATATTTAAGACAAGAGTTTTATTTTGATACTACAATGTTTATTGTTTACTGAGGATCACTGCAAGAAACATGTGACCTGTTGTTTCAAGTGCATCAAAGTTGTCCTTTATTAATATTTTCTGTTTTTCATTTTTTTCTTTCTTTTTGAAGATTTTTTTTTTCTTTGGTTTCAGCCTGACTTTTTGTAAAATGCCGATTTTGTGCTTGCTGTGTGAGTGTTGCTATGGTGAAGTGTGTTTTTTTTTTGTTGTTGTTAAATGCGTTTTCTTAGTTCTTTAGATTGTTCTTGCTCTCTGATTACAATTGCCTTAATGATTTTTATACTATAATTTCACAGACCACAGTAAGGATTGACAATAAGAAACATCGGTTCCATTCAAACTCAAACGCAGAGGGTTTTTTTTCTAATTTTTAACAAAATTATTCCTATGTTTTTTATTTCAAGTTTTTAGTGATGTTGAAAGAAAGATGTTTTAAAAGAAAGAGCTCCACATCTGATTTTTTTTATTGTAATATTTATTTTGATAGAAAGCCCAGTGTGTTCATTGATCACGTTTGGAAACCTTTTTCGAAAACCTGGTAGTCTACAGCCGATGATATTGGTCTTGGTGGGTTGGGTAGAGGAGCTGGGACTGATGGACGTTTTTATTGAGGACAGTACATCTGACTTTTTGATGTTTGTTTTTAATGGGATGTGTTTGTTTTTTTTTTTTTCATTTTTTTATTTTAACAAAAAAGAATCATAGACAGGAAACAAACATTGGACTCATGATTGTGATACAAAACCATTGTAATAGAGTTGAGGTGTGGTTGGAGTGTGTAGACTATAAACAAGAAATGGACAAAGCCATTAGGTTGCAAACTAAAGTTGCACACCCACTGGTCCGAACCCTTTAAAGTTTGGTTCCAACATGTTTGTGGATCAGTGTGAATGTGTTTGTTTATCATTCACTATCCTTTAATCACTGATTTCTTTACATCTTTTACATTGTTTATCATTCACTATCCTTTAATCATTGATTTTTTTACATTCTATTTCTTTCTCTTTTTGCAGTTTTTAATTGAAAGAAAAACATTTTATTCAACTTTTTAATAATTTCTATATAATTTAGAGTAAAACATAAAAATGGACTTGGCTGTGGAACGTTCATTCAGACACCGATGCATAAAATCAGGCTCCTCTGATTGCTTTACTGCTTATTTTACTTTAATTGGGATCACTGTTTAGTGATCACCGCACATTTTACATTTTTGTTGTATTTAAAAAGTCCTAAAACCAGTGATTGAGAACCTAAAACCTACAAGAAAATACTAGTTGAAGTTCATAAAACTAGCAGCTTCACTTTGAGGTTTCACTTTTGCAACTTAATGGCAACATCCATTTCTTGTATATTATCTATGGTGTAATACGTTGACTAATCATATTCAGTTGCACCTCTCTCACTAATATAAAAAAATACATTGGCACTTTTAATTATACGTTCTTCACCAAAGATTGTGACACAGAACAAATCCCATTGTTTGCCTCTTGGATCAGGACACGTAGACTCTGCAGAGGAGGCTGCAGCATAGTGTGCCTTTAAATCTCCCGCAGGTTTTAACAGTACAAAACTGACCCTTGAACGTAGAGGGAGACCTGGACCAACGAGTGCCACCGAGTTTCAAAACAAACACCAAAATCAAGACATGCATCTGGAATGTCGAAGCACTAAAACCATATGTCTATTTATTCTCGTCATTTGCTAATAGTAGTTCAAGTTCAATTTTGATGGGGGTGTCCACCAACAAGCCTGTGATTCCACCTGACGGTCAGTCTGACCAAGTATCTACCTCAGACTTTTCTTTCTCCTCTATCGTAGGCCGGGTTAGCAGGTCCAGCCCGGCCTTCCAGACCAAAAGCCACGCTCAGGAGCTGGCCACACACAGCTGATCCCTTTTAGGGTGTTGAGAAAAGCTTTTTGATTTTCACCAGACCTATTTTTTTAAAATGTATAGTTGTAATCATCTGAGGTTAGGGCACCTGCATATCTCTATGTGCATTAAACGTTAAAAGTTCCAGAAGAGCTGCTGCTTTTGTTAGGACAGAATGATGCTGATGTGAGCTCTTTAAGTTAAAAAAAAAAACAAAACAAAAACTTATAACTGGATGTCTGCTCCTGGAAAATAGACATTTTAAGTTGCCTCGGCTCTGGTCCTGAAAAGTCACAGCAGCGTGAGTAGTCGACCAAGTGAGGGCCTCTATACTAAAGCCTGAGACTGAGAAGAAATACTGTTTCTGTGAGGTTAAATGCTGCTAATGGTGTCTGAACCAAGTGCCATAGCACCAGGATCAAAAGTTGCAGGGGTGCGTCAAAGAAAAAATTCTCATAGTAACCATCACGGTGGACAGTCGCTATGTTATACAAGAAGAAGAAGAAGAAGAAAAAAGTTCTAATTTATAAAATGTTTTGTACAGACAGCTGGAGGAAGGAAAGAGTTTCGTAGTGGTAGATCAGAGATTTTCTCTCTTCAGTTTTTTTACTCCTGCCTCAAATGCCAGTGGAAATCTGTTTGTACAGTTTAAGGAATCTGTCCTCTGTGTCTTTCTTTTGTAGTGTTTGTTTAATCCAAAGACTTCTGTCTGTTTTTAGAAGCTTGTTGCGTAAGGTGTTGTCTCTGTTCATTTCTTTTTGACATTTTTGAATAAAAACTTTCAACTTTTACCTGGTTTAATTGTGATGTTTATAGATTTGGAAAAAAAATTAAGTAAAAACCTCTCACCAAGTCTGTAAAATTAGTTATATTATGGTTTTATCAGAATTTGATAAAGGGGAAAAAAGCTGAAAACACAAAACATCACATATATTACAAACATATAATAGTTAAATTAAATTAAATACAAAAGCACTAAAATTGATCAGATATTAATATAATACTTACCCAAACCTTTTCATGACTGATTATAGGAAGAAAGCCACAGCTTTTAATATGTTGTTCCTTTTAAGGTAAGGAAATGATAGTCGTGGTTGGTTTTACATATTATAGAAAGCAACTTTGGGTTTTCCAAACTATTTTTCATTATTTGTCAAAGAACTTTTTGACTTACTCCTACATATAATTCTGTATCTAAGTTTGACCTTCTGTTAAATGATCCTGGTGAGTGCATAGTGGTACTGCAGCTGCCAGTATTTGTGAATATCTGTGTTATCTGATAATATTTCATCATGCATGGCATGGACAGGGTGGGGTGGGTACTAGGAGATTCCTCATTGGGTGGCAGGATGATGGTTTCAGTGGGCAGGTCTCTGTGTGACAGATGGGACCCCGCAGTGTCCTGCAGGGTGTTATGCCACTCTACAGGGCGCCACCAGCTCCAGACGAGCAGCAAAACTCACACTCCAGCTGTCTGTGTTTGTGCCACCTGCGCCTAAGTAATGCACTAGAATGAGTCTCCCTTAAGTCCAGCAGATACAGTAGATGGGTTAAATGGCAAAAATTCTGACCTCAGGCTTTTTCTGCACCTGCTCAAGTATTGAGAAGTAGACAATAAGATGTCTTAAAATGTCTTAAAATGCTCCAGGCTGTATATAATATGAAACACAATTTCGTACAACAATTAAATAAATGTGTTTTATTATTTCTGTTGAAAAAGGTGATTAAAATGCAAATACTTTTTACGGTAACTGTTTACAGACACAGTTTCATTATTTTCTTGTTGGTGAAAATATTATTATTATTAATATTATCATCATCATCATCGTTATTATTATCGTCATCGTTATTATTATCGTCATCGTTATTATTATTTTATATAGTTTTTATAGCGCCTCTAGTCTGACATGCTCGTGCCTACGGCGCCCTCCAGTGGTGCCCAAGCGCAAACTCATATCAATGCAAATGTGGAAGAAACTATTGATCGTCTGCGTGCATGCGTGTTTGTTTTGTGTGGGAGGTTCTGTTCGTGACACGGTTGAGAAAGAATATCAGTGAGTCTCTTTCTATTTCTCCTCGCAGTCATGGAGCCTAAGAAGGAAATGCACCGTCTTGGATCAGTGCTGGTGACTGTGTTCGTGCTGTGTTTGCAGCTCAACTTGGCTGTGACAGGAGGTAGGCAGTGTCTTTCTCCCTGTGCTCATGTATGGACTTAGGCCTGGGTTTGTCAGCTCCGTCTTAGTTCGCCTTCACGTTCGTGTAGCAACAAACCGTCTTCACTGAATGTCGCACAGCGGATGTTTAAATCAAAATACACACAGTATTAACAGGCGCCGAACATGTTGTTTGTGGAAAGTGACACAGACTACATATGCTAATGACGGTGCTATTAATGAAAATTAAAAAATAAACTGTTGCCAAATCTAACTGGAAAATGTCTAGCTAGGCTCCTGTAGCACACACGATTACCACGTATTTTGAATGTATTCCGTTTATAATGCTAACCTCTGGATTGTTTAAGTCAGATTTACTGCTAAAACTAAGTCATAAGTAGCTTGTAATATTGAGAAACATTGACCAGATAGAATTACAAATGTTAAGGCAGGACAGTTGGAACACCAAAACGTCATACAGTGTTTAACAAAAAAAGCTAGCTAGAAGCAAGCAAGAAAATGGTCCAAAATTCGTTTAAAATGTAGCTAAAGTTGCTGTATGTTAATGGTTGAAGGAGAAATTGATTTTTTTTTCATCTGACTTGCTGTTGCAAAGAAGTGGAGATACTGTTCATAAGTCACTTTGTTGTTAAAAACAGTTTCAGAATTCAATTTATTTTTAAATTTAGGGTATAGTAAGGGTATTAGTAGTAGTAGTAGTAGTACTTTACTGTAAGGTGTGGCTGTGGTTGGTAAATATGTGCACAATCTTATCCCCAATAAATTATGAATTATATCTTATTATGCTGGTGGTACATGGAGAGACAAATCTTATGTACACAGAGTAATACATTTTTTTAAACAGTGAGCTAAAATAACAATAAATGTAAAAAGGCTCAAATTGGCCATTAATCTAATCAACTTTTGCTAAAACAAAATTAGCAAAAAGGCTAAAAGTTTTAACCAAAGGATAGTTGAGGTAAACTGTCTTTTATTGCACAGTATATTAATCTGGAAATCTAACCATTGTCTACCACTTATTCCAATGCGGGGGTCACCCAGCTGTCAATGGTGGAGGGGAGGGTAGACCCTGAACAGTTCTGCAGTCCAGGGCCACAAATAAAGACAAACAAATGGACAAACCTTTGACTACAGACTCAGACTTTAACCACTAGGCCTCAGGCACCCCCACACACAGACCCCTTTAGCCCCCCCTTAGTAGTAATAATTAATTATTATTTAAATTTCAAACATAGTCATGCTCAAAAAAGAGCTCTAAAGACAAAATGTTGGATAATAATAAAAAAAGTCATTTATATTTACAAATGGAATGTTGTTTCAGCGCAGACATTATACCTTATGCATACTGTACTGTAATTGTCTGCTGTACATGTTGCTTTGTAACTGTTCAGTTGTTACAACATAAAGTGTCATGTTTTCTGTGTCTTTCGTCAGACTGTCCTGCAGACGGACGGACCTGGGTGCCCTTTCAAGACAAATGTTACCACTTTGTCCACGGAGAAGAAGACAGTATCAAAAGCTACACCTTTGAGAGGGCCAAATCTCTCTGCCAGGGTTTTGGTACGTGGTGCTCTTTAATATATATTTTTTTCTTCTCATTTTTGTTACAGCCGCTCTGCATTCTCAGCAGGTTGACATTGTTTACTTTGTTGCTTTTCCCAGGACTTTTGACTATACTGAGCGCAGAGGAGAATGACTTTGTCATTAAATATAGCCCACAAGTGTGGAAAGGCAACGTCAACGTGTGGCTGGGAATGTATTATGACACAGACAGTAAGTATCACATGACAGGAGAGCAGTGGAAACATGCCGGTCAGTGTCCTTCAGATAAAACCTGATTATTGGTGAGGCTAAAAAAAAATGTAGGACCTCTCCACCTGTATCCTCTCAAAGTCATCGTCGTCTGTACGTGTCTCAGAGCTGCTCTGAGTCTGGAAATCAATCTTTGACTCTGTGTGTCTGTTGTTGCGCCATTTTCGTGAGTGACTTGTTTTGAGCTTCTTCTTTTTTTTGCTTGTGCCAGCTACTTTTTGTGTGACAACACGACCCTGCTTCAGGAAGTCCTGCTTGTTTTGGAGCAGTGAAGGAAAGCACGGTGAAGGACGTTCAAACCAGCTGACACTGAGCCATGAAAATGCATATAATGAAAGCTGAGGACACATTGAAAGATTTTTATTTTGGAAGTAAGAAGAATATCATTACATTAATCATGAACAGGGAGGGAGATTGAGGATAAAGAAAACCTTGATTGCAGATATTGAGGAATGGTTGAAGGAGATGGATTGATAGATTTCTATTTAATGTTTTTGCCTTCACTTTTCTTCGTTGGTTTAACACAGTGGTTATCACACTTTTTGCCCCAACAAAAATCTATAAACAAAACAAAACATAAGAACAACAACAAAAAGTGCAGTTGTGCCATCATCATTTGAACCTGTAATGTCCTGTAACTACCTACCTACAGTACCTACCTGTAATGTCTCTGTTGCCCACCAGTGGGCCTGCCCCACACTTTGAGAAGCACTGGTTTAACAAAACCTGTACCATGTTTTTCTGAACTATAAGTTGAGCCGTTAATGGTAGTCTGGCTGATACAGTGACTTGTATTCCAAAACTACTTCATATCATCTTTGGCCACAGGAGGGTGCCATATTGTTTTTTTCCAGCTGTTTTTTGGGCTCGGCAGAAAACAGAATAGAGTTTAGTCCTAGATCCAGTTCTGTTCCTGTATCAGATCTTGTTAGTAACGATTGAAAAAGAAATAGTTCCTCTGTGGATGGATACCAAACAGAAACGCTGTCGTGGGTGTGATGTGTACATTTTCTCTCACTGACCTGGTTTTCATTGTTACTTTCAATTTACGTAGAAGCAGATCAGTTCATGTTTCTCATGGGAATATGACACCACATCCTCATCCTGAGGGGAAACAATGTCTTATTTTTTTTTCAAATGATTTTTATTATTTGGAAAAAAATGACAAGACCACAGCACTTCCTGTTTAATGCTTGGCTTAAAGATAGCACTTTATTAATCCCTCAGGATTTCCCTTTGGGCAATTTAGGTTTAAATGTTATGTGTGGGTTTTCACCAGTTACACAGGCCAAGACATGTAGGTCAGGGGTTAGGTTAACTGTTCACTCTAAATTGACTATACTGCCGGTGTGAATGTGAGTGTAAATGTTTGTCTCTAGATAAGGCCCTGTGAAGTGACAGGTCACACGCACGCACTGTAGTTGTATACCTCAGCACAATGGCAGTCTAGTTTTTTCCACCGACTAATTTCATTAACATGTTGTTTTGTTCACAACCGATCTACAGTCTCCCCATCCTAACTCCCCCTCCTAACCCCCCACGCCCTCATACCCCAACATAGAATTTTGACATTTATTAATCAGGGTTTTATTGTCAGGTGAAAACATGTGCTGGCTCCATGACGAAGCTCCAGTAAGATACACTAACTGGGAGGACAGCTCGTCTCCATCAGACCTCGTTCCCGTGGACACGTGTGTGGCTCTGCACAGCAACACGGGAAAGTGGGAAAATATCAGCTGTCTGGACGAGGTGGAGAACGGAGTCATCTGTAAAACGGATCAGAGTAAGATCTCAGGGTTCTGATCATTTATTTACTTTGGTTTGAGTCAATATGAACAGTAAACCCAGAACCTACGCTTGGGATTTTTGATTCTGACCTAAGATTGTGTTTTGTTTTTTTTCCACCTGCAGAAACGGAAACCAAACCAAGTGAGTCACACTTTGAGCTTTAACTGTCTTTCCTCGGCAGCTCTGTGTTTTTAGCCCTGACCTTCCTCCCATTGTCCCCTGTCCTCCACAGAGTCCAACGCGCTGCTCTCCGCCCTGGTCATTCTCAGTGTTGTGGCCATTGTGGGAATCTCTGCGGTCATTTGGTTCCTGCACCAGAGGCACAACATTGGCTCCACCATCATGACTGCGTTCGAGTACCACCCTCCGTTCCGAGTCCTGAACTCAGACCAGTCCTACCTGGTGGAGGCTGAGGAAACTGACACTGTGCCGTAGGAGAATGGACACTTGCTGATGGTATGGGTTTCAATACTTACAGCAGTTACTGAGTTACCGATTTTGGGGATTTAACAAGTCGGGAGTCATGACTCAGAGTAAATGTAGTGCGTAAGAATAACAAGAAGGTTTGCTCTGACATAAATCCTTTCACTCTGGCACATTAATATATCACTATTGCTTTGCGTTAGTTGTCCAAACAACAACAACAGACTCACTTGATTGGTTTGTACATTTCTCAGATTGATGCATTTCTGTCAATAATAGACTGATGATCGTATTCACACTTATCTTAAGGTCTCATCCAGTGCTTTTAGAACTTTTGAAATTGTTGCGTTTTGTTTCTTGTTTGCACTACAGTATGATCATTAACACAGACAGTGATTGAAAACATTCATTTTAGGATTTGTGTCGTGACTGATATTTTATATGTATTTTTATATATTCAGCTGTGGTATGGGCTGTTACAATGTGTGGTCTCTCAGATGTCAGTGCATCACAGGCTGGTTTGTCCGACTTTACTTAAGTATTACAATGGAGTAAGAACCGGTCACAACTACATTTCCAGCATAGTGACAAAGTCTAGGTATTGATTGGTAAAATAAAAGTGGAGGTTTTATTTTGGTTTAATGATTGCATTTGATTAATTAGATGATAATAAGATATTTGAATGGATTCTCTTTAGAAATCTGTGTTTTTACTGGTAATTGAGAAAAAAAAACAAGTGACCTTAGAGGAAGTGTTTACCATTCGAGAGCTTATTCTAATATAAAAAGTTATTTTTGCATTATACTTTACCCAAATATGAATTCTCAATTGACGCCTATAAAAATGTGAGCGTGCCTGCTGCTTTTATAAATAACAGACATGTTTAGATATGATGGCTGTCACTTTTTTATAAGTGTCTGTAAATATATAAACGAGACAGAGCCAAAAAGCTGATATTTTCACCACTAGAGTATTTTCCTTTAAAATGAAATCTGTTTAGTTTTACTTAAGTGGCCGTGACCAGTTTCAGTGCAGTTTTTTTGCTTTGACCTTTGATTGTAACAAGTTGCAAGATGAACAGAAAAATAAGCTTTAAATGTGAGAATTTCCATCGTGGTAACCTTGATCATTTATATTCAACCACTCATTCCTTTGTTTTGTTATATTCAGGGGGTGGGGTGGGGGGGGGGGTAGATTCTTTATTTCTTTGTGAATCTTCATGGTGATCAAGACATTAGAACAAACATTAGATAGGTTTGATCACTGTGTAACCAGACAATCTAAATGTATAATTTTTATTATAATTGTCAGCAGTGTTAATTTGCTTCAGTACAATATCTGACTTCCATTAATATGAACCCACACCACTGTATTTTCATAATAAAGAATGTTGTAAAATCATTCTTGTGTTGGGTTTTCATCTAAAAAGTTCTTTAAGGCAGATATTTCTGGAAACATTTTAATTATTTTTTAAATCAACAGTTTATGATCATAGATACTGTAGACACGAAAAGATCAGCTCTGAAAATACCTTTCTCTGCCTCCAGTATGATAAAACCGACGACAATATATAACGAACACTGAGATAAACGCATCGAAAGTAGAGGAAAACATTGAGGCGGGACTAATGGAAAAGAGATCAAATCAAAACGAACCACATTGTGTGTGTAGGCTGATCTCCAGCAGCAGAACTACTGTTACGGCACGTTAAAAGTTTAAAAACTGCCTTCAGTCGTAAGCAGCGATTTCCTAAGAAAAGAAGAAATGTTTAGAACGAAAATGAATGACTGACATCTGGTCGCAATTCATATATGACAACAGGAGCCTCCGTAAACGTGTGGAGCAAAAATCGCAAAACAGCACTTATTGAAACTTGATTTTATCTTTATCTTCTTGATTTACAAAATACATGTCTCATATTACAACTGTTTCTGTGCTCGTATTGAACGGTCAAACATTAAAACCATTCTAAAGCAGTTGACTTAGGCTACCAAGGATTTGCCTGACTAAAACTCTTAAGATATTTCGTTGACTAGAACTAGTCTAAGGCTAAAAATAAGTCTACTGGATTGGAGTCCTAATGTTTCTTTTTTCTTTTCTTCTTTTCTTTTCTTTTCTTGTTTGTTTTTTTTGCAGTTAGATAAATTATTTCACATATTTTTTAACGTGGGACCTTTCAAATAATATCTGTATTTGGCCACCAGGTGGGACACTGACTCACATTACTGCAGGTCTCTGACACTGCAGAGAAGTGTGTTCTAAACANCCCTTGTTTGCTGGAGTTTGAAAAACTGCAAACTGGAAAAGTGGTAGATGATGAATGAATTTCTAATTAATGTTTTGCTGCTGTGTGGAGGAGTTTCTTCAAGGTTCTCTGGTTTCACACATTAGTTTTTAATTAACCAATGATATGAAATGTGAGTGTGGAACATCGTTTGTCTTTAGAAGTAGCCCAGTGATTGACTAGCTCCTGCTCTGTGGACAGTAGGGATTAGAATTAAACAGGATTAGTTGGGTGAATGTTTGTATTTTATGTTTACTGTACATGCATATGCACACAGCTACCCGTAAATCTATATGGATGTACGTTGATTCTGAGTTAATGAGACTGTATATTTTACAGATGTACATCTTAAACAATGCATGTATCCAGGTCTGAGCTCAGGGTAGTGTTACACTTTTTAAATCAAATGCATGTGCAGTGGCTGGGAGGCATTGTTGTTGAAGGATGAGAGGACACTGTGCTGACATGATTAAAATCTGAATTATGTAGCAGCAAAAAAAGAAAAAAAATTCAATGGCAGTGTGTTCGACCTCCTCTGCCTTATGGGCATCGTAAGCATCCTGAGTTCTGATGGAAAATAATTGAAAACAAAAGCAGCATCTTAATTTGTTTCCCTCCGGTCTCCAGAGATCATCTTTACTGTGTCTTTGCTTTCTCATTATACTTTTTAATCAAGACTTTAAAAACCCCTTCACACAGACTACCTGCCCCTCCCCCAGCAGGCTGCTTCCACGGCAGCCATCCACTGCCACTTGAGATAGAAATGACCAAGACAGGCCTACGTATTTATTGCACAGTATGAAAAAAAGAAAACATGTATAGAGATGCTGGCATGTCCTTCTCTGCTGATTCTTTTTTTTTTTAAATTGACAATAGGATTAAAAACACATGTAAGTTGTCGCTAAGCTAACACTTCATTTCCCTCTGTTGTGTCATTTGTGCTCTTTCAGCTTGTTGTGTGTTACTGCAGCTGCTGTGACTGCTGCAAATGCAGTGACAGAGAATTAAAGAGCGGAGGGAAGAAAAATCGATAAGCACTGGGGACAGTGGACAAGGAAATCTGCCTGTTTTAAATGACAAATGCTGATCAAGGATTATATCTGCTCCATCTTAAATTCAGATGTGCCTCTGTGCCTTAATTACTGCATCCAATTAGACTTACTCGGTGCTTTTTGGAAAAACAGGTACATTGTCTTAAAATTGAGCTAAGCTAGGAAAAAATTGGGTTATTCTTTTTTTTACAAAACAAATCACACTGATGCATCTGTACATCTGACACCTGAGAAGAAATGGACAGTACAGTACTTTTAATGTAGCATTATGTACCTTGTACATCACGCATGTTTCTCTCTATGCTCTGCTTCACCTTTTCTCTTGTTTTCTCAGCCCAGTTGCTTCCCTCATTTTCTCCCTCTTACCCTCCTCCACCCCTCTCTTGGTTAAAGCAGATGACTGCACACTCTGAGTCTGTATCTGCTGCATATCCCTATAGTTTTACCCACTTTAATTGAATAATCAGTGGATCACACAAGGGCTAGCTTAGTGTGTGATCTGTAATATTTGTTTATATTGATGATATGATTTCTCTAGTTTTATGATGGGTGAGGGAGTTTTTTATTTCAAAACTTTAAAGTTTACAGAGGCAATTTAAACAATGTATAGATTATAGAAGACTATTCAGCTAAACAAGTAACATTTAATTGGTTTTGACAATAACACAACACATGGAATTTATCATCTAATCTACTGTCAGGGTCAGATAAACATATGGTCTTATACACTGTTTTTCTTTTTTCCACTGGAAGCAACGTAAACTAAAGTACACTCGTGGGTTTTTAATTTGTATTTTTTATTTTTTTAACATAAAATAGACAAACGTGTGTGCTTCCTGTTCTAGAATGGTAAGTGCTTTAAATGTATGGAATTAATGTGTTAATGTGAGATTTTGAGACTAAAATGTGCCAAGTTTGTTTTCTCGGGGCCTCGAGGTGTCGTCACAGGGAAAAAGAGAGAGAGAGAGAGACGCTTCACTCTGTATCCGTCCACTGAACGCACGAGTCGCTCGCATCTGGAACCAATTAATGTGACAAATCCTGAACGGCAGCACAAAGCGGTAAGTTTGTGGTTTTTATTTTTTACATTTGAGCTTCTGTGTGTGTTTATGTCGACATTTATGAATTGAAGGTAGCTGTTTTTATTTTATTTACTTTTGCATATATGAGTAACGTCAAAATATTTAAACGGATTAATGGATTGGGCGTTAGTTTGAAAAACAAACAAACAAACAACCGAAAATAAAACAGTGCATTTGTTAGTACTTTACCTTTGTGACTGACAAAGTTCTCGTCAAAGTACAGGTTTTTTAACCTGTACCGATTGTCTTTTTTTTCTTTTTTTTCTGTACCGATTGTCTTTTTTTTCTTTTTCTTTTTAAATTATAATTACGGGTATAAGGTAGCAGCTTGTTAAATAGTCTTCATTAACAGCGTTGTGACGGTTTGTTCCAGTCACTGACGTCGCTGCTCTGTCTTTACCTGCGACGACGACGTGGATTGAGTTGCTCTTTGTTTTCAGCAGCACATTATACCCGATTTGTTAATTGATAAAATGACGATAAAAAGATAACTAGAAGAATTAGGGGATTTACTATCTTAATCTATTTTATCTACTGATTTGTTGTTGTTTGTCCTGACAAGGTGCACGTTCTAATGTCAAACTTATAGTCCACATACATGACGTGTAAATAGTATAAATCTCCTTTCCAGCATTTGCTGAATTTATTAAATATGCACAAATATCGTTGTGTCAATTTTAATTGTCAATTTACAATAATATCCTTCTCTGTCTGTGTTTTCGTCTATTTTTTTGTTTAAGTTGACCCAACCCAGCAGGTGTCAGTAATGCCACTAACAAGATACACAGCTACCAACCCAAAGCAAAAGACGAGGAGCAAGGATTAGCTACATTTAACCCCCAAGAGGACAGTTGTATGTAGTGAATCTTTTTTTTTTTTTTTTTTGCGAATTTGATTTTAATTGGCGAATTGATTTGTTTTGCCTTTTGCCTGTTTATCTGCCTGTCTGTATACCTATTCAGTCAAGATTGAAGTTGTGTACATTTAAGCTTAAAATGTGCTGTAATTTTAGAATTTTGGCTACATTAACATACAACACTCCATTACAGAGCAACAGATGTGCTGTAATTTTAGAATTTTGGCTAACAGAACAGTAAAAGTTATGTTAAACATAATATACCTGCACACTAACATACATCACTCCATTACAGAGCAACATTTTTGTTTGGTTTTCTTATATTAATAAAAGAAAAAAAATAAAGAAACAGAGCTTCAGTACAGAAGTTAATAAAAGAAAAAAAATAAAGAAACATAGAGCTTCAGTACAGAAATGATTGTGCTGTGACTAACTGAGATCATAGTTAGGCTATAACAATTTGTTTGTGTATAATTGTGTGTATCTGCCATAAATAAAAACACATTACTTTATGTCTGAATACTAAATTGGTATTCAATTAGGATTTTTGTCACAAAAAAAGCCAACATGTCCTGTATTACTAGTGGGCTAATTGAAAATATAATTAGGTGTAAAGTAAGGTAATTAGTTGAGGCTCTACATGATTATTAATTGATGTCTTTTTATAATGGTTCCATCAAATACCACACATTATGCTTCATATATATATGCATATATCTTTTATCCTTCTGCACCCTTATCATTTATACTCAAGACAAACCAGGGGTCTTATTGTCTTGCCGCATAAGCCCAGGATGTGTATATAAAGAGCCTTTTTTATTGATAAAAGTGTTCCATTTCTCTTCACCTCTTGCATCACTCGCTCTCTTCTCCCTCCTGTCTCTTCCTATTGTTGCTTCTTTAACGCTGCTGCTGCTGCAGTCTGGGCTGAAATGTACCCTTTCAGGTTATGACAATAACCTTCATTTTTATGCATTCACATTAACAAGGCACTCACCATCTTGCGAAACTCAAATTAGCCCCAGCTGTTAATGAAGGGCTATACTTAACGCCCACGAAATGACACTTTCAAGGAAACAGCTTTGAGTTATGCCAGACTAAAAGGAAGCAAATTTAACAAAAAAAAAAAAAACCCCAAAAAACCCTAATCCATTAACTCTGACCCTGGTGTACTCTCAATGTATTAAATCCTTTTAAAAATTATATATTATTTTGGCAAATCATTTCTACTACAACCTTGGCAAAAAGGCACATCACAGTCGATCTTTTACAGACATAAATGATAATAATTTTATAATCAGTAGAGTTACGTTTTTGCGTGTTTGTTTTTGTAAAAAATCAATTTTTGTGATACTAAGAGATCTTAAATCTGCTTTTAGAATGTTCAAAAGTGACTGAATTATGTTTCTTGGCCTGCATTTTTTCCTTTTCCCCTATTTTGTGTTGACAGTCGACTCATCTGTTGGTGACAGCTGTTATTGATAGTAATAAATGGTGTAAGTCTTTTGAATCAACAGTCAAAGTGAAAAGGCAGTCAACATCATCCTCGATGAAGTTCATCACTCAAACGGTTCCTGTAACCAAGGCCTTGAGCTAAATTGTATCATAGCCTCGATATGTTATGCATGCATCCAGTAACTGACAGTGAATCAAAACACAAATAGAAGGTCACTAAATTCCTAGACTTTTTATTCAGGGATCCTGTCCTTGAAAACTGCTACTGAGGGAGCAGTATACTATGTACTGAGCTCCTAAAGTTGACTCTTACTGAATACTCTACTGAAATTAAGAGTCAGCATTTTGCCTTTTTATGTTTTTGTATTGTTTTTTGTATTGTGTGTTTCCAGGCTCCACATTGTTTTGACACAAATGATAGGTGTTAAATGTCAAGAATGTCAAGAATGCTTGAATGGCTTAAAATATACAAACATTAAAATATAGAAACACACAGAAGCTCATTGCCATTCTGGTTCTGGTTGTACTGCACAGTACTAGTAGAACAGCAGATTTTGTAATATTTGAAATATTTTGCTACAACATTGTTAAAAAAAACTAAAAAAAAATCAAACATTGACATTCCTTTATAGACTAGCGATACCATTTTAATCCCTTTGCTGTAGGACACTGGACGGACCCTGTTGTCTTTTCACACATATTAACTTTTTTCCAAGTGCCCTTCACTTTAGCCCTTCTTGATAGGGCCAAAATCTGGTCTGCTAAAAATTGTGTTTTTGCCCATTTTCACCCTGTCTTTCTATTTCTACCCTTTCCACAAGTTAGCGCTCATTAATCAAAGGTGCTGGACTCCAGCTGAGGGCTGAGCAGCTTCATCACTTTGGCAGCCAGCCTTCTGTAAGAAACATTGCAGAGGCTCTTAACACACGTGCATAAATAAATCTGTGGTCTTTATATGCAAGCCCTGAAGGTTAATGCTGTATAATTCAATGCACCCTCTTTGTCTGATGTGATTGATGTTTTAAAACACGTAAGGCTTGACGGGATTCCTGTTTTGTAGGTCACTGTTGACACGTTATGATTGGCTGAGCTCTAGGGGAGCAGCACAAAGGAGGTGGATTATTAGGAATATGTCAGGGTGATTACTCTTTTTCACTCGTCTTCCTGTTCTATTTTCTCTCTGCCTGGAGATACTTATCCTAACGCTGGACGCCTTTGAGACCAGGGACTTGCTGTAGTGTTAATGGAGCTGATGTTTGAAATGCGAGTCACCACTGTTTGTTTAACTCTTCACTCTGGATTATTGCATCCACTCGCTAACTGTTTGTTCTGTAATTCAAGGCCAACAAGATTTTTGTCATGTTGCTTCCAAATTCCCACTTTTATTGATTTCCATGTTCACACAGTTTTTATATAACCTCAGGGTCATCTACAAAAAAATTTAGACATTTCTGATCACGAGAACAGCCAGCTGTCAATCACACACTGTCCAGTCATGTTGCTTTCCTGCCGACTGCGCACAATCTAATGTAGATGTAATGCTTACATATGAAGAAAAAGATCATCAAGAAAGAAAGTTGCTTTATATTTGGAGAGGCCTGCTCTGTTACTGATGACATTGAGTTGGAGAGATAAATAGCTTAGCATTCTAGAATGGCTTCACATGGCCTTTTTTTTCTTACACTAGTGTCTGACCCATTTACCCTTGATTTTGAATGAAGCATTCAAGTGTTGAAGATAGTAATCTCTCTTGTTAATATCACTCAAATGATATTTCACTGTGACTTTGTATACAAATAAGCAGTTGCTGGGGAGAGGTTTTTCTGCTAATGTTGTGGCTCCAGATAATGACAGCTATTTTTTGTTTCAGGTGCAGAGCAGTGATGCCACGTAGCTGAAGAACATCAAATACAGTATGTGTACGATACATCATACTTCAGATACCAGTCCTCTTTTTATCATTGTTATTTACTTAGTTTAGTCATTTATCAGTCTTGAGGGAACACATTTTGTTTATTCATAGCAAAATAACAAAATTCAGTTCTAAACTTTTTTCATGTTTTAATTGTGTTAGAAGTAGGTTAATCTGAACATGTCCTTTTATATTTTTATTTATAAAAATTACTTAGTGCCATATTAGATTTTGTACTGCAAAATGTCTATTTAATTAGTTCCTGGTTTTTTTTTTTTGTTTTGTTTTGTTTTTTTGGATCTGAAATATCAAGGCCTCATAAAATATTCAGTTCTCCTGGGACTGAACTGAAAACTTGACTATGGAGGATTAAATTACTGTTAGCTAAACAAGGGTAATTGCTGGGGCTGTAGCTGTAGCTGTTGTTTGACTTAGTTCTAAAAATCGATAGAGCTCCACTCACACAAACGCTATGCAGATGCTTCTCGGCTGCAATTAAAAGTTAGATTTTTGCCCTAAGACAGAGGTGACATGTCTGTTCTGCTAAATCTGACATAGTTTTTGCTCAACTTCATGATTTGCGGGAAAATGAGGGAACTGTTAATTTGCAATCTTGTCAGTTTGAGGGAACTGTTAATTTGCAATCTTGTTCCAGTTCCAGTTTTGTAAAAGAATGAGTGGGTTTACTGTACAAGTATGAGGGGAAAAAAATCAACAGAAGCTTTAAATGTGGCCATGTGTTTAATTTTTAATTGAGTGATGAACAGGTCATGCGCAGATCTTTACAAAGGCATGAGATATGAGATCATGACATGACACAATCCTTCACACAATGAAGGATTTATGAAGGCAGTTATCTCTAACCTTCAGTTTATATAGAAGGGCCACAGTAGGTTTCAGGCTGATCGTTTGTACCGAAGCCAGTCACTGCTTTTGATTGTTATACTGTATACTGGGCCATGGATGCTGTGTTCACTGTCCTTCACACATGTACTTTACAGTTTTATGTTAATGTTAATCAAAAAGGTGTTTCTATCCTAAATAAAGACAACATACTGGATTCTTATAGAATTGTAGGGTGGATTTTAATGATGGTATGTTGGTAAAGCTTTGTTGTTTGCTAGGTTCTAAATACTAGAGGCAAATATGTTCAATATGTACAATTTTTTTAAATGTACCCTTGATGTAATGACATAAGCTGTGCTTATTTTAGCTGCATACAGCAGGCTATAATTTGCTGCGTCGTCAGGGAAGTGAACAGTTAGTTTTTTTTGCAAACGGGAATCGTAAATATCAAAGGCTACTTATCTTTCCAATGTCTTTCTCCCCAAGTCAGAGATAAAACAATTCATGTCTCCACTAAATCAAATACTTGTACAAGTAGCTGCATCATTGACACAAGATATGTTATTGTGAGGCTTTGTTCACTGACAGAATAATGTCACACGTCCAATGTGTATTAGCAAAAAGGCAAAAAGATGACTGTTTCAGCCCGTTATCTAGTTCCTTTGTGACATTATTCTGCCATATGCTAGGCTCAACGTTGTTGACATTGGTGGTTAGCACTACCTACATTACATCACATTAAAACTGTCTTGGTTTATTTTCTAGCTCCAGTTTAAACTGTATGTGAAGTAATTTTCTAGCTCCAGTTTAAACTGTATGTTGAATGGAGTCCAGTTCAACCTCAAATATCCATCATCAGGTTTTCTTACTTTTTTTGAGGTTCCCCTTTTTCCCCAAACTCCATTTTAACTGACAATACAAATTATGAAAAGGTTTTTAAAAGTGATGAGTATGGCATTTTCATTTCAGCTTCTTCCTATTAAAGCAGCTCAGTCTTGGCAGGAATTAATAGGCCTGGATGTAGCTTTGTGTTTTGCTGCTGGCAGAACATTAATCCCAAGTATTAACGTTTTTACAATATAAATGCAAATTCAGAAAACATGTCCAGTTCGACATCATGCTTAAATTACTGATGTTTAGAGTTTTTGTAGTTGTAGATTCATTTTAAAATAGTCAAAATACACTGTGATTTTCTAAATGCTGAAAGGTTTAATTATTTGACCATATTTCATGATCAAATGTGAGAAATATAGAGTATTTTGGTTGTATTGTTTTGTGTGATTTTGGAATGATAGGAAGAGAAAAAGTTCAAATAAAATGAAGTATAATGCCTGAACAGTAAACTGAGTTGCAAAAGACTCTTTTGTGTCACCCCTTATGTCAGTCTTTCATTAGTGGTGTTCCTGCTACATTTTAGTAACTTGACATGATCAGCTGTTATGATTCAGCAACAATTTCCTGATTAGCTCACGTTTCCGTCAGCAGCACAGGCACTCGCTGGAATTGTCATTTTCTGCTTCAATACAGTATGGACACAACTGTTTGATTGGATGGATGTGCTTTTTTGCTTCATTTGGCAGGAAACACTGTGGTCGCCTTGTGATTTATGCTGTGTTCTTTGGAGAGAAGCTACGTAGTGTATATAAAACCAAGATGGACTCTTACCTTAACACTGGCCTGACCTTGACTGCTCTAAAATTTGGCATTTGAATGTGGTTAAACATATTTGTTTGTCTCCCTAATGTTCTTCTTAAATAGCCGACAGCAGAGCCAATATCTGACATGATACACTGTACACTGAAGCCAAAGTCACACCACGTCACATGATTGTATTCAGGTCATTTTACTTTAACACCAGTAGGTTTTGCGTTATGCTAAGGTGTAGTAGGTCATATGCAAAACACAGCTTAACATTTACAAAATGAATTTTACTACAGTGGCTTTTATTTGATTCTCCTTTACAGTTAAGAATAAAATACATTTTTTATTTAGTCTAATTTATTATGGTGGAGAAATGATGGATATCCTTTGCATGCTGCTCCGATGATAAATTTGTTGCTATGTGCTTCTTTGTCAGGTGATTGCACACAATCGCTCTTCTTATATATTCATGCTTCTTTTCTTCCACTTAGCATGCAAATGCACACCTTATCTCAGTCCAAATATATGACACTGAGAGGCTCAAGTGCTGAATCTGTAATATTTGAGCAGGAGCCCTGTGTTCCTGCTGTTATTCTGTTTGAAAAAAAAAAAAAAAAAAAAGATGAAAAACTGACACCTGGACCTTTTTCCTATGTTTCTGTGAATGCGAAGAATGTGAAAAGCAGTGATTATAATACACAAAAACATGTTCCACTCTTTCTAAGGACACTTTATTTTAATGTATTTATTAATTAATTTTGATGTTAAATTTGATGTAGTTCTTTTAGTGTGTAGAATTTTACTAATTATCTTACAAACATAATAAATTCTCATCAGACATTTGTCAAGCAAGTTACCATGAACAAATAATGGAGTACCAAATGATAACCATTTTGTCAGCGTAATTAACGACTAATGTTTTCTTTTCTCGCAGTTTACTTTGAATATAAAAACTGGCTGAATATTAGAACACTAATGGATGCATTGGGATCCTGAAATGAAAAAGACAAGACATTTTCCTCCTATTATAAATCTAGAACCTTTTTTAAATCAATTTGTTTTGTAGAAATAACACTCTAATAATGCATAAACACAAATGTCTTACAGCAGAGGCCATTTTTCAGAGGAATGGTAGCTGAACAAAAGATGCATTAAAAGGCTTTGTCCTTGTCTTTCTTGTCATTCTCCTCTGTATGTGTCTAATTACAAACTGTAGGCTGAGCTGCACATTTATGCTAATGATTGCTGTCACACACGCAGTGCTGAGAAGAAACTCTATAGGAAGATGCTAATGTTTTTGCTGAACATGTGGGACTTGTTTCTGTGTCATGTTCCACCTTCACATTGGCCCATATGCTAATGTTCTACATGCAAAAGCCGCCCTGAGACATAAATAATACCTTGAAGCGTTAATCACACAGAGGCTTCCCATTGTTTAGTGGAGCCGTTGTTTATTTGACAGTCTATTTTGTATACGCTGTTGCGTAGCCTTCGTCCCAAATTTAGCCCTTAGATTTCACTTCAATTTATTTAAAAAAATGTCATAGTTAAAAAAAATGACGATGCCTTTCTTATCTTTTTTGGTTAATTATCGCAGTTTAATAGGAAACAGTTTACAGTACAGTACTACAGTAAGAAATAACTGCTATATCAGAGTTAAAACACGTTTTGGGGTCTAAAACGGTTTTACTTAAAAAGTAAAGAGTATTCCATTGTAGTCCAGCTTTCAAGGTGAACAGAACAACCTTCAAAACGTATAAAAATATCCACATACTTTGCAAAATTTACGAGTGACTAATTATATTGCAATTCTTGAGGAATCTGTTGCCTCCTTGGTTGAATATTTAATTTCCACCTGCCGGTTATAAAAATGATGGAGACAAGGTTTTCCTCGTCAGCATACAGTACATCTTGGTTTGACAAATGAGTGGTAATGAAGCAAGGTCAAAATGATGCACCGCTGTGTTTTTCTTTTCATAACGTCTGGTGACTGTGAGAGTACCTTTGTTCTGCACAAACCGATGCTCATCACCACAGGAAACAGTGGCCTTATTGGCCAAGCATGTCCACAGCTTTCATGTCATTTTCGTCTCATCAGTGTTGCTCCGGGTGAAGGATGATACTTGATATTCAGAGGGGAGCTGCTTCTCCTCAAATTAATCAGCTGCCTCTGTTTTATTGCACACAGGAGAATCACCAAGGAGACCCAGAAATTGTTGTTTTAATCTTTGATACATTACCTACGGCACGCTAGGAAATACAATCTGCATCCTCGCGTCGAAGTCGTCTTCAAACACAGGCTTTGTTACCAGTGTGACTTTAAGTCCCCAGAGAAAAGAGAGGAGACTATAGTTATATCTTTTGTTGAATTATGAGTGTCAACGTTTGGTTATAAAAATAAAATTATATTTTAAGATTGTCTGTTTCTACCAGAAATGTTCAGAATGTCCTTCTTTATTTTTCTTCTATTCCAGGTCAAATCTCATGTACGTCACATGACTGACGAATGTTGAATGAATTAATGTCATTGGACCTGTGTCCTCTGCACTAAATAAAACTCATATAATCAGACATTATTATTATTGTTAGTGCTGGATTTTGTATGTATGTTTGTTTTTTAGAGATCACATACAGTATACTGTAGTGTGTGTTATGTTGTGTAGTGTTTCTACACTGGGTTTTTGTGTAGTTTTATTACATAATTGTATTATATATTATATATTATTATATATATTTGTGGTTACCATTATCACAGAAAGTGAATACACTCTACTCACCTATTAGGTATGGAGTCTTCACCGTCCTCCTGTCACACACCTTCCTCTTCAGACAACTCCAGCCCTGCACCACCACAGACGGCCTCTGTCAAATGCACCTCAGCCCTGATACCTGCAGGTTCTTCTTCAAGCAACTTTAGTTTGTACACACCAAACATTTTTCAATAAATGTGGTTTGATGGTTTGCTTCCACTAATTGATTACTGTATTTTTTTTCCAGGTTCTTTGCTGCAGTTAAACAGATATGACATTAAAACATCAACCAAGTCCAATGGTTTCTCCTTAATGAATCATCAAGTCTTTGGAAACAACAAGTCAAGTTCACATTTGTCTCAGTTTGGAGGTCTTGGTAGTCTGGGTCTTACTGCTACTTTGGCTCGCACTCACTTTGGGACAATTCCAGGTAAAAAAGCAAATGTATAGGTTCATAGGTTGCCATAGAGAATTTATTTTTTGCCTCATGTTCTTGTGTCTCATTCCTTCATTTCAGAATGGTGGTTGTCATCTGAAAGCCATAAAAATGGTGCACCAACTTTCCTCTCTCCGTTTTTGGGACTGAATCCAGTAATTGCACCAACCTTTAAAAACAAAGATCCCGTTCATTTAAAATCTTACACTTCAGGTTAGCTTCCTCTTTTATTAAAAACCCTGTTAAAGGTGACTTTGGGCCAAAATGATAGATGTCTATACAATATGTCACATGGTAATGACTAGGTCAGTTTGAACTGCTGTCAATCACAGTTATTTGTATTGTTGTTCTCTCTCTTATTTCCAAGGAAAGTTCAGAAAACACCAACTATAATGATTTTTGTCGTTTCCTGTTTGGTGTCGATCTAATGTTGTTTGTTGTCTTTTCTGCAGGATTGAATGGAACAGTCAACAACAGGAATGGTTCCACTCTCATTGGGAACATAAGCAACAGTTCTTTGTCCGCCGGAGGAAGCAAGAAGAAAACACAGATCAGTTATAGTCCAAAAAGCCAGGACTCTTGTCAATCACCCAGAAAGACTGCACAAAAAACTAAAGTAAAAGTTAAGTCTTGGACTAGCATTTAACTTTTGTCACCTAAGTTATATAATTACTTCTGTGCTGTATTTATTTAGACATATAATAATATTTAACAATAATAATATGTGATATAATCCTTCTGTCAATATTTAGAAACCCAGGAAGAAACCAGCAGAGACCATGAACATGAACGGCAGCCTCTCAGGATCGTTGTCAGATAGCTCGAGTGAAGACAGCAGCAGTGATGCTGATGACGTGGATGAGAAAGAGGATGAAGATAGTGAAGATGAAGAGGACGATCGCAGCAGTGATAGTGAGGAAGCCGAGTTGGCAGAAATTAAGGAGAAAGTCAAGGTGAGTTTGCGTCATCATTCCAGTGTAGTAAAGTCATGTCACAGCAAAACTGTTGAAAAAAAAAAGTCTTGTAAATAAGTGATTTATTTAATATTTTATTAAATTAGAAAAACTGGGCAAAGACACAGTTTAATTTTTTTGTTTTTGTTAAATGTCAGTTAAAACTGTAACAGGATAATAGTTGAAGTAATATCTTGGGTATTCTCCTTCTTTTTTAGCATCTGACACAGAACATGTGTGAGGATAAAAGGAAAAGGTCCTGCAGTGAAGATGTGAGTCCATCCCAAGACAATCATCATAATCGGGGCTCTCTGTATTCCTTGAACCACCCCCAGTCTTCTTCTCATCGACGTGCTCAGCCTCAGTCTGCCATGCCGTCTTTCCAAAGCCACAAAACTAGACACGAGAAAAACCAGCAACATGTTAGTGTCATCCAGGCGCCAGCGGTCCCAGCAACAGTCAGTCAGTTTGCACACTCCACCAAGGAAGTCTCTCCACTGGCCTTCAGATGCTCCCCCAGCAAAAAATACTCCACCAGTTCAACCAAACAGTTACCTCCGTCTGCTTCACTAAAGCACTCCTCACATGTGTTGTCTTACAAGCACAGCTCTGTCTCATCTTCTCCCAAACCTCTCAATTTGTGTTCTTCTGACAAACCCTTGTACCCCAACCGCTTCTGTCTGACATCGTCACAAAAACCTTTTTGCTTCATAACTGCACACAAACCACCATCCAAGTCGGTCTCACAGAAGTTGACACTTGAAAAAGGAAGCTCTCATCCCAAGTCTAGTAAACGCCTGAAGGACAGGAGTCCTGAGATGACACAGGTCAGTTTTACTGTCAAACGTCTTTGTTGTAGCTGTTTTCACCTTCGTATTGATTTCTGCCTAATTGAGAGTGAAATTTTTTAAAATATGGCATCTGTAATTAGGAGCTTTCTTAAGGATTGACATTATTTTTTACTATCATTCTAAAAGATATTTTAAAATCCAGAATAACTTTAGAGTAGTGAAAGCCCATTCACTTTTGTCAAGGCTTTTATTTTACCTTCCAGGAGTGTGACCATCCCATGAGTACAAGTCTAAGTGACATTGTGTTTTTTTTCTATTGGGAAAACTGACAAGCAATTATCTCTGTTGTGCTTTAGGTTGTTTGCTATTAAGAGAAAAAAAGAGAAATTGCTTTTTTTAAGGACTCTGATTATTGTCACTGTTCTAAAGAGAAGAGCGACTGCAGTAGTTGCTAACAAGACAATTTAAATTCATAGGATGATCGTTCATTTAATACAGGCTTTGTAATGCCAGCGTTTTGACAACAAAAATGACAACTGCATTCTGAAGATGGCACCAGGCCAAATCAGCATTTTAAAATAATCTTCCACAACAGCCTGTTTGTTGTTGTTCTTTTGTTGCTGTCAATAATAAATGTGAGTGACAGTTTATTATATCATTATTTATCTTTGTTGTCATTTCTGTAGACATTTCATTTCAAGGACTCCTTAAAGAAAGATTTCATTCTGCAACATAATAGGTATGACAGTCAATAATTCTTCTTTGCATCAGAACAAAAATACATTTGTTGACTGGCCACTTGCTCTATCTCCCCTCCAACAGTGAGAACAATCTGTTCCTCACCCTTCCTGATGACCAGGATGTCCCATTGGCTCTCATAAGTAAACCTCAAAGCCAAAGCACCATCATGGACTCTATTCCACCTCTGACTGCTTCCAGTCCATCCTGCTCAATGCCTATCAATCTGAGCACCAGCAACGAGGAACTTCACAGAAGCTCTGCTTTATCTCCACACACTTCTGCCTCACTATTAATAACTCAGAAATCAATTAAAGTCAAGCGCTCTACATCTTCTGCAGACCTGGTCCAAGGTGGTGAGAGTGACGTCCAGAGCAACAAAGACTCAGAGTCAGACTCTTCAGTAGCTGATGCTGATGAAGACCAAGGTGAAGAGGAGGAAGACTCTGGCAGCAGTCTCTCAGGTTAGATTCAACACACTTCCCTTATATAAAGAACACTAGTTACGTATACAATTGAACATACAGCACCATCCATCCATCCATCCATCCATTTTCATCCGCTTATCCGTTACCGGGTTGCGGGGACAGCAGTCGCCACCCAAATCACATTGCACCGTACCGAAACCTTCCTGCGGGTGGTGAGTCCACTGGGAGGTATTAACCGCCCTAACCGGGATTCGAACTTGCCCAGGAGATGAACCCTGGGGTTCCACACCAATGACAGAGAAATTGCCTCTGGGCCAAAGCGCCACCATACAGCACCATAATTGGAGAAATTGCCTCTGGGCCAAAGTGCCACCATACAGCACCATAATTGAAAAATATGACAAGCCTTACTATAGCCT